TCAAGGGCCAGGCACTGGGTTCACTTTGTCCCCAAGTCACAGCATCGGCAGGGACTTGTCAGTCATCCTCCCGTGCACACAACACCCCACTATGTCAAGTCCCATTCTGAACTTCAGGGAGTAAGGGAGCAAGGAAAACTGCTCTCAGGAATCTGCAAGGCCGAGAAGGCAAACACCCTCTCGGAGGGAGAACCTGAGCACGCGGGTCTTTGGTTCCTGTCCCCAGCACAGGAAGGGGATGAGGGCACTGATGAGAAAGCTCCTGCTTCCTGGATGCTAATTTTTGTGCCAGGCAGTGTTTCGAGGGCCTTCGCCAAGAGGACAACCGGACAAACAGGGGGTCATACTCTCTCCATCTTAGAGATGAGGGAGTTGGGGCCCAGGGAAGGAACTTGCCCAGGACCCCACACCCAGAAATGGTGTAACTGGGATCAGACCCTGCTCTGGTCGACTCCAGGAGTCCCCTGCCTATTTGGAGCATTCTGGGGCCACACTTATCCCCCGACCCCAGGCAGAGGCCCTGACTCACGTCTTGCTGCGTGGTTGCATAATGAAGGATCCCATCCTCAAGCACAAAGTATCTCTGTGATGAGGCCCAGAAGGAACGAGAATCCAGGAGGCCGAGAGAAAAGGGTTTGGGGAGAGAGCAACCGCACACGTGGACTTTTCTTCTCCGCACGCACGCGCACACGCAACCTCCCCCACCTCTCCCCCCACCCCCACCGCCCGCCCCTGCATCTGGCCCCTCCCTTTGCCCTGCCCACCCCACCCCACCTTGTGCCAGCCCTTCAGAGGCCACTTCCTTTTCTTGAGCAGGTGGCCTTCCTTCCTCTCCGGCATGACACCCTCTGCTCCCAGCCTGCTCCGAGGCTCCTCGACCACCTCCCACAGCTCGGAGGCCTGCAGTCCAGGACAGAGAGGAAGGACAGTGGCTGGGAAGGTGACCAAATCTGCCCCCCACTTTTGGGCCAAGCTCTATCCGCAAACCCACCCCCCCACAACCGCCACTGCCTGCTTCCCCACCCGCAGACCTGCTGGGCACTGCTCGGCTTTGCAGACTGAATGCTCTCGGCCAACGAGTTAGGGACCCTCTCTTGGAAGTCCATGGAGAAGGGAGCGGCTGCTCCCTGCCGAGAAGGTGGAGCGGGGTGGAAGGAGAAGGATGTCACCTTGTCCTGAGTGGACCCTGCAGCAAGAGAGAGACCCCATGAGCACAGGCCCGGCTATCACCTTCTCCGCCTCCACCCCATCCCGCAACGTCTGAGATAAGAGCTCACGGATGTCTACTCACAGGCCTCTCCGAGTCTGTCCCTTCCCCACCGTGGGCCGGTTTCCCTGCCCACACCCCATGGCTGCGGCCGCTGCTCAGAGAGGTGAACGAGCTGAACTAGCCCGCAGCCCGCAGGCCGGGGCCAAGAGAAAAACCACAAGAGTCCGCCCGGCCCCACCTTGGGCCCACACTCTCGGGCTCTAGGAAACACTCAGTGCTTTCTCTGGAGGATTCCCTGGGTGTGATCAGAGATGGGGCATGGGAGTGAAAAAAGAGGCTCTAAAAAGGGACAGAGGAACTCAGAGACTGGACTTCCTCCAGGACCCCTGGACATCGCTCCAGCCCGCTGCCGCCATCATTTGGAGACCACTCTGCCGTGATCGCTCTGCAGAACACTCGTAACCCCTTCATCCCAACTCCCTACCAGTCAGTCTCCAGGTCCTCCATCTTCTGCATAGGGAAACTGAGGCCTGAGACCGCACCCCCCATCCCCATTGTTCCCTGCGCCTTCACCCTGGGATGCCTGCCTGAGACCCTCAGTACCCCCCACAAAGCCTCCCTTTATCCTCCCAGTCCTTGGGGCTCCTGAGAAGTACCACCCACCCGGAGAGAGCAGGGGACTGGGCCCATGGAGGCACAGTGTGCAGGAGAAGAGGTGGCCGAGAATATGCCAAGGTCCACACAGGTCCCGCAGCAGTGCCCACAGGCGCCCTTGCCACCAGCCCTGGCCGTCCTGGCTCCACGGGGAGATCAATAATGCATGAGGCTCCGTGTGTGTGAGACAGGGAGGGGACTGGAGGGGCGAGGCTGGCCCGAAGCTGGGCAAACAGCTCAGATCTTCCAATGGAGCCAGCAAGCACCTGAGGAGCTGAGACCAGGAAGGGGCAGGGATGCGGTGGGGTTGTGGTGGCCGGGAGGCCGGGACAGAGGGGTCCAGAGTGCAAGACGCTGACCCGGGGGGTTGGGGGGCAAAACTCCTGCTTCTGGCCATTGAAAGTTCCCAAACTCTTCCAGTGTTTGGGTACCTCTGTGCCCTTTTCCTGGCCCTGGAGGATCCCGGACCCTCACTGCAGGCGGGTGGAGGCAGAGGCTCTGCCCCGAGAGGGTGCGGGGTCGAGGTGAGCCAGGTCGGTGCCCCATTTCTACTTCCATTCCCACCCCCGTCTCCGGAGGGGCAGACCCACCAGCTTCAGGTGGGAGGAAGCCTGCCTGGGGGATGTCAGCTGATGCCAGCGTGGCCCCCTTACCCCAGGGTCCATGGACGCCAGTGCTCCTTGGCCCGCGCACCGCTCTGCCTCTGAGTCACCGTCTCCGAGTGGTCCGCTCCCTCCTCACGGAGCTGAGCAGTGGCAGCAGCTGCTGCAGGAACCAGGAAGGAAGGAGACGTCGGAGCCTCCCCTCCAGCCGGATCTCCCCACCTCCCCCTCCCCGGCCCCTCCTCCGCCAAGCTCCGGGCGGCCGCTCAGCTCTGCCCCCCTGCTCCCGGGAGGACTCAGGGCTGAACGGACTCCCCAGCACCAAGGTAGCTTGGGAGTGGGGGCAGAGTGCCCACTGGGTGCCGTTCCAGACAGATCACGGAGGACTAGGGAGCTGCTGGCCTCGGGCCAGCGTTGGTAAAGGGTTTACTCGGACTAGGATGGCCTTGACCCCAGTTAGTACCCAAGGCCATTTCCTTATTAACCAGCCCCCTCCTTTTACATCTGAAAATAGACTGCAAAATTTGGAGGCAGCAAAGGTATCAGGTTGACGGGAAGGGATGGATGCCCCTGGGGGACCACAGTAGACAGTGCCAACAGCACAGTCAGCAGCGCAGCCACAGCTCAGAGGGCCAGGCAGCGGCCCCCACCGAGGCTGTTATTGTGGGTGATGCCCCACCGGAGTGGGGGGCGGGACCCACTGTGGCTGGAGGCACCTATACGCTTAACACCAAATCCCCAACTTGCAGTCCTTGGACCGGGAGCAGGCCTGCAGCAGTGACCAGGTGGCTGTTAGGGAGGGCTGGCTGGAGCCAGCTCAGGGACCCCCGGCCTCCCTCTCTGAGCACCTCTGTTCTGCTGGAGTACTGTGTCCAGCTCAGTACTGGATTCTAACTAAAAATCAACTCTTGGGGCGCGTGGGTGGCTGAGTGGGTTAAACCTCTATCTTCGGCTCAGGTCATGATCTCAGGGTCCTGGGATGGAGCCCCACATGGGGCTCTCTGCTCAGCAGGGAGCCTGCTCCCCGCCCCCCGCTCTCTCTGCCTGCCTCTCTGCCTACTTTTGATCTGTGTCAAATAAATAAATAAAATCATTAAAAAAAATAAACTCTTAAGAAATATCTAAACCTGGGACACCTGGGTGACCTAGTTGGTTAAGCGTCCTCTGACTGTCTTCCGCTCGGGGTCTGGAGATCAAGCCCCGCGGAGGGCTCCGGCTCAGCGCAGAATCTGCTTGAGGTTCTCTCTGTCCCTCTGTTCCTTCCCCCTCTCTCGTGCATGCACTCTTAATAAAGTCTTTTTTTTTTTTAAAGTTCTAACCCTCGTTAAAATGAATGCAAAATGGACTCACAGCTTTAAGCAGTGAAGCTGCTTTCTGGGAAGTGAGTTTTTAATGGCAGGGCCTCAGGCATCACCAGCAGGTGAAGGGTGCAGTGGGGGTTCTTTGGTCCAGAAGGGATAAGGGCCACCTCCTCCCCCCAGGCCTCGGTTTACCCTACAGGATCTTACACATTTCTCGGGAGATGCCTGTTTTCTCAGCCATTCAGAGCCTCAGCACAGCTCCTGCTGCCCCAGGAGGGCGTTGCTGGCACCCAGCAGGTGTCTGGGAGTCAGGGAGGGCATTGGGCAGCACTGGCCAGACCAGCTCTGACATCCAAGAGCCTCGGGAGCCTTTTAATTCACTTCGGATTGATCAAGCATCCCTGGGGTATACAACATCAAGCTGGGAACTATGGGAAATCGGTCCCAGACCAGGCCACAGAACAGAACACAGCCAGAGCGGCTGTGGCACAGCCCCAGATCCGGGAGGAAAGCACTACAGCCACCTTCCCTACTCCAATCAAGGACAAGGGCAGGCTTCTAGTTAAACATTCTAATTCATTAGGAAATTTTGGTTCTCCAAGATTGGGGTGAGGCCTTCCATCAAGAGCCTCCAGACACCCTCATTAATACAGAATTCTGGTTTGGCCCAGCTGTTGTTCAGAATCACCTGGATCATGCTGGCTAATGTGCAGAGCTGGCAGCCACCTTCAAAAGGACAAACATGTAAGAGATGCCATGTGGGATTGGTCCAGGGAGGCAGGGGACCTGGACATGGAAGAGGAAGGATTTTCTAGGAGGGGAAGTGAGAATCAGAGGTGGCCGTGAGAATAAGTCTACACGGAGGATAAGCTCACACACAGCAAAACAGAGGAAGTAAAATGCATTTCATTTTATCATCAACCTTTCCATAATGTGACACACCCCGAGGGTGGAGAATTAACACTCAGGCACAGCCCGGACCCTAATGAGGAAGCTCGAGGGCAGAAATCCAGGGAACAGTCTTTTGAGCAGAGAGAGAGCCTAGTTCAAGTCCCTGTTTGGCCTCTTATTAGCTGCATGACCTTAGGCAGACTACTGAACTTCTCTGTGAAATGGGTGTGATATGGAGACATGGTGAGAAGAACGGAGGTGTGTCAAGCGGTGAGCACAGAGCCTGGCTCTCAGCACAAGCACCAAGGGGGATCCAATCCAGCACAGCGCACTGTTGAGGGGACAGGCCAGGAGATACGTGCAGCAAGGGACAGTGACATGGAGGCAGAGTGCAACTTCCTTGTCTGTTCAGCTTCTCTGCCCAGGGCCCGGAGAGCCGAAAGCCTGTTCCTGTTAGGTCCCAGAGTGGGAACACTGGAGACAAAGACAGTGATTCAGAGCCTCTATTTGGAAATGGGGTGTCTCTGCATCCCCGCGTAGCCCTGTGTCTGGGAAGTCGGGCTCAGCGAAGTCAGGTCACAAACGCCACTCCCCACCCCAAGTGCTTCCACATCTCTGATGGATGAGGGCGCGGCCCACGGGGCAGAGTGTGTTTATGGGTGGGCCGGGTACAACAGGCTGACTAGGAGTTCGGAATAGGGTCAGGAGAAGTGGGCTGCCCGCCGGCCAGCGCCACAGAGTCCCCCGCCTGTTGCTCTCTGATGTACTGGTCCAGGAGGGCCGTCAGCTGGAAGGACTGGTGCTGAAGCAAGAGGTGGGTCTGGGCCATGCGGAAGGTGAGCCCTCCTACCAGCTCGCCCTGTACCAGGGCCAGGCTGGGAAGCTGGGAATAGTTGATGAAGCCTTGTCTGCTGAGGATGGCATCATCGATGCAGCCACCTGGAAGAACACGGGGTCAGCCGAGCGCCACGAACGCCTCTCTCCTCTGAAAACAACGATCGAGGTCCCAACGCATGCTCTGTTGCCCTTCTCCACCTCCCAGCCCTCCTCGAATCTGGTTCCCATGCCTGCCCTGCCCAATTCCCCCTCAGTCGGGGACTGATCCCCTCCCTTCCTTCCTAACTCTTCCCTAGAAAACCCTGACATAGGACATCCACCTGAGCCAACTGCCACTAAGTCATGGTTTCCTAAACTTTCTTAAAGAACCACAGGGCGCGGGGTGCCTGGGTGGCTCAGTGGGTTAAGCCTCTGCCTTCAGCTCAGGCCATGGGCTCGGGGTCCTGGGATCAAGCCCCGCATTGGGCTCTCTGCTCCGCGGGGAGCCTGCTTCCCCTCTCTCTCTGCCTACTTGTGATCCCTCTCTGTCAAATAAATAAATAAAATCTTAAGGAAAAAAAAAAAAAAAAAAAGAAGCACAGGGCGTGTGTTAGCGGGGTAGGGGGTGGTCCACGGAGACCTATAAAACCAGTCTTCTCTATAAAAGAACCATCTCTGGGGATCCCCAGCATCAGGGGAGTCTGGGAAACACTGCTCCCTGCCCTTTGGTGTCCCTTACCTCGGGGGGTTTGTTTTAAGTATCACCGTCTGTGTGGCTTTCTGTACGCCACTGCAAGACTCAAGGTGTCTGAACTTCCTCTCCCGGCAGAGGCCTCTCTGCTTTCCCTCCTCTTCCCCCCAGGGCAGAAATGATGCCGGACTGGGGGTGCCTGGCTGGCTCAGGCGGTTAAGATCCGACCTTGGTTTTGCCTCAGGTTATGTTCTCAGCTCCTCCAGCCCTGCACGGGAGCCCCTGCTCAGCACAGAGTCTGCTTCTCTCCTTCCCCACCTCCCTCTGCCCCTGCCCCTCACCCGCCCCCTGCCTGAACTCTGTCTCTCCCTAAAATAAATAAATATAAAAAGGAAATAAAGAAGGGACGGAGAGATGGAGGGAGGGAGGGAGGATGGAGAGACGCAGAGTAGTGAGCCAACATAGGTTCCGGAAGGGCTCAACAAATGGTGCTACCGACTCAGGCCCCATCTGTGAGTGATGGCCCCCCACGAGGATGGCCACAGTCCTACCCACGTGTACTTAGCAGATGGCATCAGGCCGCAGCAGCACCCACTCCCCTTCACCCCCATTCTCAACCCACAAGGGTGCTTGCTCACCTAGCAGTGGCAAGAAGGGCACACTCTTCAAGACTCGTACCATCTCCTTGACCTTGGGCTCCTCGCTGACCAGCAGGAAGTTGTGCCCCACAAAGAGGGGCAGCAGGTTCTGGTACTTGGAATCCTCTAGAAAGGGCTTCAGAACCTGGAACAGCAGGATAAACGGCTTCCTGGGGACAAGTGGGAGGAAAGGCTGCCCACCCCAGTCACAGGCCAAGTCAGGCTGTGGGTGCAAGCTGACAGTCTCCTCGGCCCCCAGCCACAGTGCAGGCACCAGACTGGAGGGTTGCTTGGGGCTGGGGGGGTTGAACACTCCCGATCTGGGAAGGGGCCCTGCAGTCCGAGTTGGCAGAGGTGGGGGAGCAGGGTGCCCGCACCAGAGGGCTGCTCCCTACCTGGTTGGGGAAGACCTTCAACAGGATCTTGTGCTTCCGCAGCCGGTGCCGTATGAGCAGCTTGTCCTCTGCGCTCAGAGCCACATTCTGGCAGACAGCTATCATTCGGTTCTCTCGGAAAACCGTGTCTATCTCCCGACGGAGGAGGCGGATCAGGCCTGTCTCCTGTAGTCAGGAAGAGATGACCCAGGGCACATCAGCTGCCCTTCTCCTTGTCCCCCTTTCTCCCCAGGGGAACGGGTGCTGGGACCTCCAGGGATGCCCAAACGGGGGAAGTATCAGTGTTCAGGAGGAGGGTTGGGGCCCTGCCTCTCAGGACATGCTCCCCCTCCCATTCTGCCCTTCGTTTTTGTCAGATAACCACAGTCTTTAGAGCAGTGTTGTCACACCTGACAAAGCTCGTCCCCATGACCTGGTCACTGGTCTGACCCAGTCAACATTTGACAATAATGTGGTCAAAATTACTTTCTCTCTCTGATGCTGCATTCATGTTGAATCAATTCACCAATCATAAACATAAGATAACTTTTTTTCAGTGTTAATTCAGAACCGAGGACAAGACTTCATTTTCTGAAGACAGTGTTTCTCAAAATTGACAGCATGTGGGCCTGACAACAAGCATAAAGGTACAAATTCCCCTGGTCTTTCTGCTCTTTTTAAGGACAAAAAAGTTCCTCCCATTCCTCTAGGAAAACACAGAAGCTTCAAGTCCTTTCAAGACAAGAGAGATACTCTCCCCTATCTCCACCTGCTTGCATAACTTTCACACAATTTGGGGGAGACAAGTAAAGAATGAAGGAAACCCAGGAGGCCCATCCAATCCATAGAGCCCAAAATGCCAAGCAGATTCAAGCGCACATTTCATTTTAAAACATCAGCGCACATTTCATTTTAAAACGGGGTCAAAGAGGGGAAGTAGTGATGTGGAGGGGTAGGTCCTGGAGAGCTACTTCATTATGGCGTCAGAGACAAGGTCACATCAATCCACCATCCTAGCACCAAGGACGGGCAGTGTCCTCCTTACCTCTGGTGGGGGACTGGGAGGACACGGTAGGCATCTTGGGTTGATAGCGGGTTTTGGGGGGATATACTCAGTCACAGCCATCAGCTTCTGCCGCTGGAAGTGCATCACACGACGATGGCGGGTAACAGCCTTAGAGCCACAGCGGATAGTCTGGAGGGTGGGCAGCCGACCTGGGAGGGGAAATGGCAACGCTGTGACGTGCAGCTTCTGGGAGTCCTTAGTCAGTCTCAGATGGAGAAAAAGCCCACCCCTGAGCAAGACAACCATGGCTCACAGAGCTAGCCCCAACACAAGAGAGGGACAAGGAATTGTCTGCTAGGAATTCTAAATCCCCCAAACTTCCCTTCTCTTTAATGAATGACCTGAGGTCAAATGTTTGATCCTTTGAGGCTCCCATTTCTCCAGCTCTTCTATATGTACAAAGATGAGGGGAGGAGGGAGATGAGAACAAGGGAGAAAGTATATTTGAACACGTTAAAAAAGGGGGGAGAGGATTGAGCAAATTTTTTTCCTATTTTTTTTTAAGATTTTATTTCTTTCTTTGAGAGAATGTGATGGAGGACACAGAGCAGGGGTGGAGAGGCAGAGGGCGAAGGAGAAGCAGATTCCCCACTGAGCAGGCAGCCTGACACATGGCTCCATCCCAAGACCCCGGGATCATGACCTGAGCTGAAGGCAGATGCTTAACCCACTGAGCCACCCAGGCCTCCTGCAAATTTTTCTTAAATAGCCAAACAGTAAATCTTTAAAGTTAAAGAACCATACAGTCTGCAACTACTACTCAACCGTGCCATTGTATCATGAAAACAACCCTAGACAATATGAAACAAGCAGAAGTGGCTGTATTCTAATAAAACTTTATTTATAAAACATGGTGACCAGTCCTGCCACAATATGGCAACCCCTGGTTTAAGCCAACCGTTCTCAAGGTGTGCTCCCTTTACTCAGCCAGCAACATCAGCATCTCCTGGCAACTGGTTAGAAACATAAGTTCTCACGGCCTGTCCTGGTCCTCCTGAATCAGAAACACTGGAGGGGAGCCCAGCAAACAGTGATTCTAATAAGCCTCCAAGTGTTACAGATGCATGCTGAAGTCCAAAACCACTGCTCTAGAACTGCTCTGAAGCCTTCACCCATGAATTGAAGCAGGAGGGAAAAGAAGTTACACGGCTCTCACAGTTCCCCCAAACAAGCCTCCCCTTCCCTTGTTCTTGTTTATAGGCATCGCTGGAGAGCACGCCTCAGAAGATAAGGGAGCCACTTGAAAGCTGTAAGCCTAGCTGACCCCTTCATCTTCAATGAAAGGACCCAGGCTAGCGCTTCCCACTTTCAGCCCTTCCCAAGTTTGGGATGGGGTCTCAGGGAAAAGGTCAGCTAGAAGGTGGCTGTAATAGAGAGCATGGAGGTTTACTGGGGTGATAGGTTTTATTGCCAGCAGCCACAAAACCTAAGTTAAGAACACAGGTTTGGGATCAGATGAACCAGATTTTTTTTTTTTTTTTAAGAGAAAGAGGTGTGTGTGTGAGGGGGCGGGGGGGTGGTGGTCAGAGCGAAAGCAAGAACGCCAAGCAGGCTCCAAGCTCAGCAGCACCGAGCCTGAAAAGGACTCAGTCTGACCACCCTGAGATCATGACCCAATCGAAAACCAAGAGCTGGATGCTTAAATCTACTGAGCCACCCAGGTGCCCCCCAGATGGAATCAGATTTTAATCTCTTCTGCCACTTACTAGCTGTGACCTTGACCAGTCACTCAACTGCTCTAAACTTGAAATTCTTCACCTGTAAAGAGGAGATAATCATGACTTCTTCATGACATGCTTTAAAATTTAAATGAGATAATACATGTAAATCATTTACCACTGTGCCTGGCCTATATTATGTGAGTGAAATCATTCATTAAACAAATGTCTACTGCATGCCTAATGCCAGGCACCACGCCACCTGCCGGCTATGCTGAATGAACATAAGGGTTCTGCCTTTACGGAGTGTGAAGTCTAAAACAGGAAATAACACATAAACAAATGCAAAATTACAGACTGAGGGGTGAAAGGGGTCCATAAACAGACTGCAAAATACACATTTTAACAATGGAAACCTGCTTTGCAGAAGGTGGCCAGGGCAGGCCTAAGCAGGTGACATTTAGGCCAAGACCGTGAAAAGGTGGCACAGCGCCAAGGTCTGGGCGAGCAGTGGTTCAAGCAAAGGAGGCGAGCAGGAGCTGGGTGGTGGATTACAGAAATCCAGAGAAGGAAGGGGGCCTCTGGAAGAGGGAAGAAATACTGTGGTTGTCGCTGACATTGTTGCTGCGCTGCTGTTACTACTAGTGTCTGCAGCCACAGGGAATTAGACGGAGAAAGGAGACCAGCGATCTAGATGGGCTCAGGGGTCATCGGGAGCTGTCTGGAGTAAGAGATTGTGGGAGAGGATCAGTAGTGGAGGAGGGGAGACAGAACTAGAGAGCGCCGTCCGGAACGCGCCATGAGGACCTGGGCCGCTCCTTACCCGCCCGGGGCAGGAGACCCCCTCGCAGCATCCCAGACACTGCCGCAGCCATCGCCACCGGAAGCACAGACGGGAGCCGGGAGGGACAGAAGGAGCTAAGGATTGTGGGAGGTCCTGGGACCGGAAACAGCCCGCGAATCCGCCGGTTGGAGCACTAATCCGCATGCGCTGAGCCGCTGCGAGCCCGCCCCACTGACGCCCAGTCTCCTAGCAACGACGCTTATAATCTGGGGCACAGCTCTTTTCTTTCGATCCGCACCCGCCACTCTCTACCCACAGTCCCCCAGTTTTACTAACCCCTTTGCACCCGTCAAACTCCAGAGCTCCCGCTTCGATTTACTTTTGTCTTCTACTGCACCTCATGAATTGGCTCTGAATCAACCACTTTCCCTCTGAGCTTCTCCCTCCTCACACCATCCTGGGTTCCGCCACCCCTGGGGCTATCCAAGTTGGTCGGCTTCCCTTCGTCCTAAGCCCATGCCAGGCCAGTAGCCTTTAAATGATGCCCGGAGGTGAGTAGGGGATGGGGTGGTGAGTAGAAGATTCGGATAACAGTACGGTCGGGCTTCCAAGAATAAGAAACGTAACAATTGGACTCATCTTTTCACAGCTAAGCTTGCCCAGAGTCCAGAGGAAGGGGGCGTCTGCATTACTGAAGCCCTTATCACCAAGCGGAACTTGACGTTCCCTGAAGATGAGGATCTGTCGGAGAAGATGTGAGTGCCAGGGGGAGAAGGAGGTGGTGGACAATTGAAACACACAGGATGACCAGTCCCCTGAGCTGTACTGGTTTGTCAACTCATCTTTATCCCTCTCTTTACTTACTCCATGCATTCAATCAGTGGTCATGTCCAATTGATTTTGCCTCCTTAAACATTATCCTGTTTCTCTTTTTCTTTCTTTCTTTCTTTCTTTCTTTCTTTCTTTCTTTCTTTCTTTTTTTCTTTCTTTCCTTTCTTTCTTCTTTCTTTTTTTTTTACCGTGCCCACTCAACTGCCTTAAATAAGGCTCTTAAGCCATCACCTCTCAACAAACTCCTAATTAGTTTCCCTGTCCCTGGGCCTGGTTCCCTGGACTGTTACCAAAGTGATCCTTTTAAATGATAACTCTGATCAGGCACACCTTGATGGAACTTTCCTTGGCTCTCTAGTACTTCCAGAATAAAATCCAAATGCCTTAGCATGAGTTGAGCTCTGCTGCCTTTTTAGCCTTATTTCTTGCCGTTCTCCACTATTCCTCTAAGACCGGACATTCTCACACCTTAGCGCCTTCTCAGATTGGTGCTGAGCAACATCACCTGGGAGGTTGTTAGTAATGACTCTCAGGCCCACCCCAGACCTACTTAACCGAAAACTGCATTTTAACAAAAATTCCAAGGGACTCATGGGCACATTAAAGTTGGAGAAAGCCTGGATTAGCACACACTGTTCCTTCTGTTTGACATGCCTTCTCCTCATCCCCTTCTCACCTTCCCAGCCAACTCCCACTTACATCACCTCCTCCAGGAAGCATTCCCTGTCCCCCAATTCAGGAGTCCGTGCACAGTTCAGGCACTCCTTTGGTCCCTTGTACTTGTGTCTGTCATCCACTTGTCATAGATGTTTGGCCTGCTTCTTGAATAGTGATGGGCAGGGACTCTCATTTGTCTCTAGTGGGCACTCAGTAAATATTGTGGGAGGAATGAATGAGTGAATGGAAAAAAGGTCCTTCCATGGACCACTCAAAAGGGAAGCAAGGAAGGATCCTCCTTCCGAGTTGTCTCATCTCTGCCTGGGTCTCTGCTTCCACCATCCACGCTGGTTCAAGGAAGTCTTCTCTTGCCTCTGGGTCTCTCCAGGAACCATAATCTGCTATCACCCATTTCCTGGTCCAAGGGCCTTCTACTCCTCTCACCCTCTGATCCTTCCCAGTGCTTCTGACCAAGATCCAGGGCTCCAGTTTCATGGTTTCATGATGGGGACACCGCCTCATGAGTTCCTGACATCTCATCAAAGGCACTTACCTTGAAACCCCTTTCCTCCCCCTCCCATCTTCCCTGCTGAGACAACACAGAAGTGGCATTCCATTACAACACCTGCTGACCGTTCTTCCAGGTTTCACACTCTGGCTGAACTGCAGACTGTCCGCCTGGACCGGGAGGGGATTACCACTATCGGGAATCTTGAGGGCCTCCAGAACCTTCACAGCCTTTATCTGCAAGCGGTAACTTCTTGCCTCCTGCCCTTCTTCCCCCTTCACCCTCTGTGGACCAAGTCTGTTTAATCCAAAAACAACCAATCAGGTAACCTTGCCCATTCCCTGCCATTCAGGGGGGCAGACCTTCATTGAAACTGTTCCCAGATGGGCGCCTGGCTGGCTTATCTGTGGAGCATGCAACTCTTGATCTCAAGATTGTAAGTTCAAGCCCCACATTAGGTGTAGAGATTACTTGGAAGGAAGGAAGGAAGGAAAGAAAGAAAGAAAGAAAAAGAAAGAAAAAGAAAGAAAGAAAGAAAGAAAGAAAGAAAGAAAGGAAGAAAGGAAGGAAGAAAAGGAAGGAAGAAGAGGAAGGAAGGAAGGAGGGAGGGAAGGGGAAGAAAAGAAGGAAGGAACTGTTCCCAGATGAATCAGGAATTCTCTTCAGTTGAAAGATCAATCCTCCCTGAAGAGATCCTAAGCATGCTCTTGAATCACTGGTCTTTTGTCAGACAACTTCTCCGGGTCTCAAAGTTCTTTTTGGTATCTACCCTATCATGTTATGTATAGCTCGAGCCCATTTCCTATTTTGTAAAAGTGGAAGAGGGAGCCAGAAGATTCTACTGCATCCTTCAGAACCTTGAAGGCGGTTTTGTTGTCGGTGGTGGTGGTGGTCATCGTGGTGGTGCTTGACTGACTGAGTTTCAGGGTCCTCCGGGTTGACTATACCCCGCTCCTTTCGTCTTTCCCCGCAGGAACTTTACGAATCAAAGTCACGTGTGCCCATTACTCCCTGCGTGTACCTAAGCCACCACTCAGGCCTCCACTACTGCCCCGTGGCCTCTTGGTCTCCTTCTTGACTTCCAGGCCCCTCTGTGGTTGTGGGCTGAGCAGCATATACTTTAATGAAGCATAGCCAGCCCCCAAGTTGACCCCCCTTGACCATCCACCCAGAGAAAGCAAATCATCCCCAGGTAGCGAGAACCAGTTCAGAGGGCAGAGGGTCATTCCCAGGGTGCCAGTTCGCCAGCTGCAACAGGGGACAGGGTCTACCCAGTTTCCCCAACTCATTTGCTTTCTGCAGAATAAGATCCAGCGGATTGAGAACCTGGCCTGCATCCCCTCCTTGCGGTACGTGGTGTCAGGGCTCAGGCCTGGGGGAGATGGGGAGAGCAGGGAGAGGGGGAGACCCGGCCATGCCCCAGAGAACTGGTCCAGACTTCTCCAAGTCTAATGTCTTGTCCACCGAGGACCCAACAAGTCCTGCTCTGCTTCCCCCACCCAGGGGGCCACAAGTCCCCACTCATCATCAGGCTGCTCAGCCAGGGCACCCCGGGCACCCGGTGTCCTCCTCCCTTCCTCCCGTGGTTCCATGATGCAGCTCTGTTTTTGCATCCCTTCCTTCCCCCCGCAGCTTCCTGTCTCTGGCAGGAAACCAAATCAAGCAGGTGGAAAACCTCCGTGACCTCCCACATCTCCAGTTTCTGGACCTTTCTGAGAACCTGATAGAAACACTGAAGCTGGGTAGGAAGGCCCTGGCCCCAGCTCATGGGATAAGCCTTGTGTGGGCCCCCCCTTCTCTGCTACCATCTCCCCATGCTTGCATTGGCAGCACGGCCTCTGGGGGTCTGGGGAGGCTGTACAAAGGGACAGAGGCTTTGGGCCAGGAGAGGGGTAGGACACCCTTGTTCCCTTCTCCCTGGTGCACGCAGATGAGTTCCCTCAGAGCCTTCTCATCCTCAACCTGACCGGAAACAGCTGCACCAACCGGGATGGATACAGGTGAGGAGGACATGAGGGCAGGAAGAAATGGAGGGTGGCCGAGCTCCTCCTCCTACCTCCACGCAGGCCCCCTCTCAGTCCACAAACCCGGGGTCACCATCCACGGCGCCTTCTCCTTCACCCCGGCTCAAGTGGGACGCTTTTTCTCTCCAACCCTGAGATCCACACGGAGCCAGCCCTTAGCTTTTCGGGACTGACCACAGGCCCATCTCCCCGCCTGTGAACACCAGCCCTCCCGGTGTGGTTGCTGCGGCTTGTGTCTGCACTTCCTCCCAGGCTCCCCACCCATGGGTGCTCTCCCGGGATGGGGGGGTCCTCTGCTCTTTCTGCCCTACAGGGAGCTGGTCACAGAAGCCCTGCCGTTGCTCCTGGACCTGGACAAGCAGCCTGTGTTAGAGCGCTGGGCCTCGGATGAGGAGGAGAAAGCCTCAGACGATGAGGAGGAGGAGTTCCCAGAGCTGAGCAGCCCGTTCTGCACAGAGCAAGGTGGTCCTGCTTTCCAAGGCTTGCACCCTCTCTAGAACTCTCCTCTGCCCTGTGGGGCACTGGGGCAGCTAAGGTGGCAGTGACAGCTAGGGAGGCAGCCCCAAGCCAGAGCGGTATCTGGGTAGGAGAGAGACAATCCCGCCAGGGCCAGGCGTCAGTCTGGGTGCAAGTGACGTGTCCTCCCCACCCCAACCCCGGGCCCCTCCTCGCAGGGATGGCAGCAGGTTAGTCCTCTCCGGGGGTCAGCCAGAGACCTCCCTGCCGACAGCCTTCCTGCCAAGCCCAGGGCTCCGTCTACCACCTACTGTCTTGTCCCTCCCAGGCTTCCTCCAGGAGCTGGAGCAGGAGATGGACAGACACAAGGAGCGCAGACAGCAGGCAGCCCTGAATGAGCACCTTCAGAGGATGGAGACGAAGCCCGCCCTCACTGACCTCCCCCTGCTGCCTGGGGGGCCTGTGGCTAAGGACAGCAGTCCCTCTGTCACCCCCAGCCAAGGGAAGGAGACACCCCTCAAGCCCGCCTCCTTGCCACAAGCCACCTCTGCCACCAAGAAACCCTGCCCTCTGGTTTCCAGCCAGCAATGCACTGTCCAGGCAAAGAAGGGGACCAAAGCAGCCACAGGTCCCAAGGCCTCTGTGTCCAGGGCCCCCAGCACAACCAAAACTGTGACCAAAAGAATCAAGAAGTGAAGGGCAGCCCGTCCCTACCAGCAATTCCACAGGAACGAGGAAGAGGGAAGAAAAGGGCATGGGTGGGGCCTCACCTCCTCCTCAGACCCCTCACCTGTGACAGAAGGCTCCCCCAGTAAAATGTCACCCAGCCCTGAGTATGTCTTTCATGTCACTGGGGGGCATCAAGCAGTCAAGGCAGTGGGAAGGAGTCACAGAAATACAGAACCCAACTCTACTGAACACGTTTCTGGACATTTCAGGAACCACCCAAAGGACTGGCCCACCTCAGGTCCCCACCTGGCTGCCTGGGCCCTGAGCAGGCCTCACGGTGTGGAAGATGCCATCTTCCAGAGGGCACAGCTCACTGCCATCCTCGGGGCGTGCCCTCCAAGGTTCAAGCCAAGGACCCAAAAACCCGTGGTCCTCATTCTCCTTAAACATTAGCTCCATAGTGTGCCAGGCACATTCTCTTGGGCATACCCACTCACACACCTGGGGAGACCACCTCTCCTCACATGCCCCTGCCACAGCCTCCCCCATCGAGTCCCCATCCCCCAAGAGAAGACTGTGCTGCCAGCAGACAACCAGAGGCCCACGGCTGCCCTTTGCCCTCACTTGGCTCTCCCACCCCCACTAGAGCCGGGATCAAGTTCACTGAACAGTGAAATAGCGTACTTTATTAAGGCAAAGGCCGAGCTGGCCTCCCAGAACAAGACTGAGGGGAGTAAAGGGCTTGTGCTGATCTTGCCGTCCCAGGGGCCCTGTACCCACCCCAGGCCAGGACCAGCTGTGGCGCTCAGCCATACACCTGGCTCTCCCTCTCTACAAAGGCCTGGAAGAGGGCGCCCAGCTCCTGCGGGGGTGGGGCCCACTCCCCGGCCAGCAGCCGCCGTGCAGCCTCGAGGCCTTCCTGCTCCAGGTCCCGCTGCTTCTGCCGGAGCTGCTGCCCCCGATCCTGCCCAGGAAAGGCAGAGATGAGTCCCTGGGACAGGCTTCCCTCCAGATCGCGGGGAGATACCTGCCATCTCCCACAAGCAGGAGAAAGGACAGGGTCCCCGACATTCTCCTGGACAGCTAGCTTTGAAGGCAGAGACTCCTCCGGGCAGTCTAGAGTCTCTCCTCCACGCCCAGGCCCACTCATATTTCCAGAATCCCAACTGGGCATGGGAGAAGTGAGTCATGTCCCCAGAGTAGCCCCTAATCCCCGGGGCTTACCTGCCCACTCTCCATCAGCCCCAGGGCCACCTGGTGTCCGAGGTAGAGGCTATGCCGGCGATCCACCTGAGTCTGGAATCGGGGCTGGGTCCGAACAGGGTCCCGTGCCCCAAAAGTGGGGGACACCACCTGGGGGGCCGGGGTTGCGCCCGCCCCAAAGATGAAAGGTTTGAACACTGACCTAGTGGGACAGAGATGGAAGGAGTGAAGGCTATCACATCCCCCCGGACACACACACACACACCCAGCCTGGCAAGCTCTCCCCTGCCTTCCCCACCCTCATTCCCCTCACCTGGATGGGTCTGGTGTGGCAGTGAGAAAGTGAACACAGGGCTGTGTGGGATCCCGGGGCAGGATGGACACCATGCTGGCCGTGGTGCGAAAGCCTCCCGAGTCCATACAGATGCCACTCTCCTTGTTCCTGAGAATGTCCATCATCACCTCTGCTGTGATGCCCCCTGCGAAGGAGGACAGGCTGAAGGGCCCCCAGGGCAGAAGGGGACCCTCTGGCCCGGGGTCAAGGCTGTGGGAGAGGAGAGAGGCCAGTACTGCCGCGGCCCTCGGGCCCCCAGCCCGCTGCTGTCCAGTCACTGACCTCGCTGCTGCTGCAGCAGCTCTCGCCCGGCCTGGAAGCGGGCTTTGGCAGCCTCCATGCGCACAGGCTGCTGAGTCAGGGAGAAGACCTGAGCGAAGTCGAAAGCGCTCTGCCCACCCCACCAGCCCTGGGCCAGGGCGTGGGTCCGCAGCTCTGGGTGTTCAGCGGAGATGTCTGTGCCAATGCTCAGCTGGTTGGAGATGTTGTGGGCCCCCTCTGTGGAGGAGGCGGGAAGGGGAGGGAATGGCCCCTTTATCATGAAGCACCTACTCTGAGAACAGGGCAGTTATTAAAGAGAACAGCTTTGCCCTTGTGGAGACGGAGACAGACGTGTGAGCTTGAGGCTGTGGCAAGTGCAATGAAGAGGCACCTGCTTGCACATACGGGGGAGAGGGGCGGAGGGGAGCTGACCGCCAGGGAGTCCAGGAAGGCTCCCCAGAGGAAGCGGCAGACTAGAGCACAAAGAGGATTTAAGCAAGCAAAGGGGAAGGAAAGGGTCCTCATCGGGCTCATCTCCCACCTCCTCAGGTATGCCAAACACCCTGAGGTTTGCACCTGGATCCGCCCTGCCTGGCCCCCATCCCACCCCCTCCCAAGGCTGTCTCCGGGAGGCAGGCCCCAATGCTGGGCCCTCACCCTGGATCCTCTGTGCGGCCCACAGCCTCCCCGCCGTCTCCAGCACCCACGCCTCAGTCCGGTCAGCCAGCAGGAAAGTGTTGTGGTAGCAGAACGGGGCAGGGTCCTCCCGGCAGCTGCCCCCTTGCCCATGGCTCTCCAGCAAGCCCGTGATCACGTGCAAGGCCTCCAGGGCAGAGCGGCTCCGTTCTAAGGCCAGCCTGGCACAGGGAGAGGGGCCGGGACCAGAAGGGCAGTGAGGTACTGGCGGTGGGTGACAGAAGCCCCAGTGGACAGACACAGCCCAGGGAGGCCCGCGTCACACAATCTTCCCACAGTGGTTGTGTGGAGCGTGGTTAGGCCAGGGGTTTTCAAGTTTGGCTCTGGGGGTCCCCTGAAGAGGCCTGAAACATGGTCTCGGAGAGAGAAGCGCACCGGGTCCCCCAGCCTCTCTTCAACCCGAGTGGCTCTGCTTTAACTCGCTTCATACCTTGGGACTCCATTGGGGGGGGAGCACTTCTACTGAAAAAAGAAATGTGAAACCACTGCCCTATTTCTGGGCCAGGAGAGGCTCCTTGGGAGCTCCTTACGAGACTGGAGATGGGGCCGGGAGAGAGGAGGAGCTCGGGCAGCCTGTCTGGGCTGGCAAGGGGGACAGAGAGATGGGGGCCCTGTCACCTGGGCTTAGGGGAGGGGGGATGGTACTCAGCTCTCAGACTTCTAGCACCAGACGATAAGGGAGGGCAGTGTCCCCACCTGAGCAGATCCATGCCCAGCAGGGCTTCCCCCTTGCCAACTGGCTCCTTGGTCCACACCGCCTCATTGCCAATGCAGACACCATGCTCATTGGCGCCCATCTCTGCCCCCCAGAGCCACGAAGGGCGGCTCAGGATCACAGCATGAGTCTCTGACACCTGGTCCACCTCAATGTAGGTGCACTGCAGGTAAGAGGGGAGAAGGGGAGAGCCCACTCAGAAAGGGTTTTAGTATTCCCACTTGCCAAGGAGCAGGCTAAGTCAGAGGCTAGGCCCAGGCTGGTAGACCAGAAGGTCATGCTCTTTCCCGCACCTGTGGTGGCTTTCCAGGGGCCTGAGGAGCGGAGGAGGAAGGTCTGAGGCAGACGCTCAGATCTGCCACAGCTCCTAGCTCTTCCGTAAGGCCTAACCCACCTGGAGCCGGCTCCCAGGGGGGTGAGTGCTTGCGGGTACAAACACCACCTCCTGCACTTCGTCCCTGGGCCGGTCAGAGTTCTTGGCAAAGATCACCGCGGGGATGGCCGAGGCCGGGGGTACCGAGACAAAGCAATCGCAGGAACGCGGGGCGTCGGGGTTCCAAGAAGCCATCTGGGGAGAGGTAGGGACGAATGGGTCCTCTTCGGGCGACCTCTCCACCATCCTGGCCAGAGCTCAAACCCCCTGGGAGCCCCTATCCTAACATGTGTCAAGAGACACTCGGAGGTCACTGCTATTGGGTTCGCGATGCTCAGCACCGCACACAGGCGAAGGCACCGCGCGGCGGAGGCACCGGCTCTCTGCCCGGCTCCAGGCTCGCGGCTCCGCAGGCGGGCGCAGAACGCACGTTCCCAGGGCCCTGCCCTACCGGGAGCCCGGCTCTCCGGCGCAGTCTCGGGACCCCTCCCTCGCCACCCCACCCCTTCCTCCACGCCCTCATTCTGTCCCCACTTTCTCTCTTCCCCAATACGGTCTGCCCCTAACCTCACTCCCTCCAAGATCCCCAGCTTAGTACCTACCGCCACCGCCGCCGGTTCGGGTCATTGGGCGGAGGCTCCCAGGTGACCTGGAAGGCTTTGGCCCGGGAGGCGGAGCCGGAACCAAGCTCTTGCAGTTCTACCGTTTTCCACCAGGGTGCGCGCCAGCACTATTTCTTGGAGCGGAGCAGGCTTGGAAACCGTGTTAGGAAGCCTGTCCTTGCCGGCGCCGCTCTCAGGCTGGAAAAAGGCTGCAACGAATACGGGGCCACTTCCAATGGGGTCCCTATGGGGAGCAGGAGCTGGGGGTGGAAAGAAGCCCAGGTGAAAAGAGAGGAAAGAAAAAACAGATCTGTTAGTGAGCGCAGATTGCTGGGGCATCTGGAGGGGAGAACTCAGCTACTTGTGTCCTGGTTTGAATTACAAAGGCGCGACCTACCCCAGTCCCCACCAGGGCGTAAGATCTGTCAGATTGTCATAGGGCTGAAGGTGTAGGGATAACTTAAGTTAATGCATTTTTTAAAACGCACATATTCTCAAAACCCACCTGACCCCCAAAAGGTGGATTCTGCCCCACAGTGCTTGAACTCCTAGAAAGATAGCTTTGAAAGGATATTTGAAAATTTCTAGTCCAAAGATTTGGTGCCTTTACACAGAGTGAAACTGAAACAGCAAAGAAGTCTTGGCCAAGGGGGCACCTATTGATGTGTGGGTGGACTCTGATCCCAAATGTTCTGCTTTCCAGGTCATTTTCCTCTATTAACCCTCTCTGTAATCGGCACTTAAGCAAATGCAGGCTACTCCTTTTGCTCTGTGGAGCCCTCCAGGATTGGGGACAGGAGAGATACTGAGGATTCTCTACTTCTCCCACATCCATCCTGCCAACAAATCAGGGCTGCTGCTCAGAGCCCTTGGGAGAGCGTGGCAGCCTGGGGTCATTCCTGGGATGGCAATGAAGGCCAAGTTTTCCCTAGGAGGCAGGCTATGGGCGGGTGCACCAGATAAGGCTGTTGGGGGATCTG